TACTAAAGAACCCACAACGAAACAGTTTACTATTAACGATGCTCTAAAGGACTCAAACTTGTTTTATGGCCTTGTTTCAAACACACTAATTCAAGAAAGGCAAAAGTGTTCCACCAATTATTCAGGGGATACCCATGTCGTCATTTAGTTTTGGTCGTTGATCCACCCATGCGATTTTTCTAAATGGTAAAGGAAGATCAAATGTAATCTATTGAACTTGAAACATTGTTAAGAAGAAAATAGAGTTATTTGGTTATTGTGATTCATGAAAGAGTCTTTTAACTTCAAATGTGAGAAGATTCCCGTTTACAATTTTTTTTATTTGTTCTTGTGCCAAAAAAAACATATTTATGATTGTCGTGTTTATGATTGTCGAGGAACGTGGACTTAAACCTCTATCCTTCTCAAGTTATGTTTTATGTTATTCTGTGTACTTGGTTTTGTCAAACTTTTTGGTCTGCAGTTAGTTTTCTTTTACTTCTACAAAAAAAGAGAGAGTAATGTACGCAATTAACGCAAAACTTCAACAAAAAAAAATTTACATATTATAATTTTGTGAATATCTTTTATTGAAATTTTGTTTGTTCCAAACGATGTTTTGGGCATGGATATTGTTGGATGAATCAGAGAAAATATTCAAATGAAGATATAAAACAGTTATTTATCCATCCATAAAACACATCGGATAGTGCTTCCTTCCATCAATAAATCGAATGCCTTGTTAATTTCCTCAAACCTTAGTTCGTGTGTGATAAAACCATCCAAATTAAGCTCCTGCAGTTTAAAAACAAAGATAATTATAGTAAATGACTTCATAACAAGAAATTTTTGCAAAATTGATGAGTTGGTGTCAGTCATAATAAATTGTGTAATTTAATCTTACAAATTTTCCAGAAATAGCATAGATTTTACATAATTTGTTATAAAATATCATGTTAATTTATTTAAAGATTGTCCAATAAAGCCTAAAAATATAAAAGGACATGCGACACACATATAGAAGCATAGTCTAATCGGAGAATAGTTATAACTTTCAACTTTTGTTTCTTTTATAATTATAACTTTTGTTTTGTTTTATAAGTAATCACGTAAATTAGAAATAGATTAAATCTTTTATATACCTTTTTCAAATAACGATCCACGAGAATGGGAATATCAAGTTTGGGTTTGAGACCGCCAAATAAAGTTCCACATATAGTTCTGCCTCTGAGAATATCATGACTAGCCAAGCTTATTGGCAACCTATGTTTTGTCATCCCCAATATTACCGTTTTTCCCGATCCCTACAAAGAATTTTTTTTTTTTTTTTGTAAAACCGAATTTCAGTTTAGTCCATGAAATGCTTCTAAACCAAATAGAATTCGGTAGTAACCAGTTAAAGCATACCGTGCGAGTGCTATTGAAAGCCTCCTCCATTAAAGGTTCTAAACCAATGCATTCAAAACTGTAGTCAACTCCTCCTCCTGTCATTTCCTTAATCACCTAATTTTTCATAATTGTTTAAAAATTACATTAATTTTCTCTATGCACGTAAGTTTCGAGTTTCAAAATTGAAACTTATATGCTGTCAAAGAAAAACAAACTTAATCAAAGTTTCAAAAAAAAAAAAACCAAACTTATACTATAAAAATACTATAAACCAACAAACCTGGCTAATAGTCTTCTCCTTGCACAAAGCAGAGTTGACGAAATCGGTGATCCCGAATCTTTTACCTACTCCACATCAATGATTATAGGGTTTTTTCTTTTCTTAAGCGAGCAAATAAATAATACAACATGCAGGCGCAAAGATAAATAATACACCATATCAATTATTATAGGTTTTTTTAATTAAGTGAGGCACAAAAATCAATAATACAACTTGTAGGTGTGAAAATACCTATTCCAAAATATTCAGTCAATCGAAGGGATTTTGTCCAAATTATTATTTATGATTCAAAATCCATGTCTAAACTCTAATCTCGATGGACGTAGTGATATATCCCTCCTAAAGTTCAATAGAAGTAATTTCATATGCTAACCACAATCGTACCACACTTTTGGAAAAATCCATGTCTTGTTTTTAAAACGGAGAAATTGGGATCCCAACCCGCTAAAGATATGTTATATGTAATTTTTTGTGCTTTTTAACAGTTTTTAAAATTTCTTGATATAAAGTA